GCCAGAGCTCGCCGGGGAGAGGCGCGCGGCCCCTGCAGTGCCGACAGGCGGGCCGGGCTGTGCTGCTGCGCCCGCTCTCGGGAGAGCTCCCCGTTCCCTCCCTGGGCAGCTGTGGGCGAGGACAGCTGCCGCCTCAGACGTACCGTGCGGGAGAAGCAGCCTTGCAGATGAAGCTATCGTAGCCCTGCGCTGCCGGGGCGTGCGCCTCGACATGGGCTGATGCCGCCGGCCTCCCGCAGGGCCCTTGCGGGGCCGGGCTGCCCGGGAGCATCAGCGGGTGCCCGCTCCAGGGCTCTCGGTTTCCCGGGCAATGGCCAGCTGCCCTTTGGCCTGGGAGCCCCCGTTTTGGGGACCTGAAGCTCCCCGTGGGTCCTTGGAGAGGGGTGCCGAGTACCCTGTTGGTGGCAGGAGAGGAGGACAGAGGCCGCTGGGGCCGGGCTCCCCGCCGCGGATGAGCCTCCGCCCGAGTGCTGTCAGGGGTCGCTGGGTCAGGGGCGCAGGCAGCCCTGTGACCTGACCGGCCCGCGGGCCCCAGCCCGGGCGTCTCCCGCAGGGGCCCGCCAGCGTGGCTCCCGTGAGCCAGAGTGGTGGGGTTCGGGTAGTCCCCTCGTGCCCGGGCACGCTTCTCGGTAGCCTGCTCCGCCCCCGGCTCCCGCCTGGCGTCTGCTCTCGTGCTGTCCCTCTTCTCCCCGCGAGCTGCACGGGCGGCGGCCGCGTGGTGACCGCTGCCCTCCGGGCAGCACGTGGGCCAGCGCGGCCAAGCCTGGGCCCCGGCCCGGTGGCTGCTGTGCCCCTGTGCCCGTGCTCTCTTGCAGGCCTGCCCCTCGTGCGGAATCGCGCTCGCGCCCCAGGCGGAAGCGGGTGCCGAGGGAGGGACGGTCCGGAACGGCGGCCACGAGGAGCAGAGAGGCAGCAGCAAGGTAACGGCCCTTGGCCGCTGTTCCTGTGGGCTCCTCTCGGGCGCACCCAACCGAGGGGACTCTCCTGCAGCCCTCCAGCCGCCCGGCCCCGCCCATCGGGCTTCCACAGTAAACGGCCGGCCGGCGAAGCTGGCCGGGGATCCCCAAGTAGGAGCTGGGAGCGTGGGTGTGCGCTGGGGGCCGGACGCGGCCCCCAGGGCAGATGAGGGCGCGCACCCCCGGGGCCTTCCTCGGGACAGCTGTGCAGCTTGCGGACAGGCCTGGGCGGGGGGGGGGACAGAGTGGGGAGGTCCCCTGTGACGCCGCGGCGGCGGCCCGAGGCCCTGTCCAGAAGGCTTAGGAGGCGGCTCCGGGAACGGAGCGCCCAGGCGCCTCCCGCTGCGGGCTGGTGGGGCCGGCTGGTGGGCGGTCAGTGCCGGCACCCCGCCCGCCGCCCCTTGAGTCCCAGTGCTGAGTTGCCTTTGCCCGGGGCCATCTGTCCTCGTCCCTCCCCCGGCCCCCGACCTTCCCCACAGACCTGAATACTGGGTCTAGCGGGATCCTCGGGATCCTCAGGTCTTCTCTGAGCCTTCTTGCACCCCTCCCAGCACTTCCACCGCACCCCTCCCGGGGCTGGCACCCCGAGGCCCACCTGCCCAGTCGGGGAGAGCAGGCGTATCAGGGACTTGGGCTGCAGGGCACAGCCTGCCGCGGTCAGCGGGACGCAGCTGGGGGCCGGGGGGAAGGCGCCGTGGCAGCCCTCTGCCATCAGCGCTTGCCTCCCTTGTCTCGAGTCAGGCTTCCGGAGGGCCCACTTCCAAAACTCACAACGGCCTGCTGAGCCCGCCCCCGGAGGAGAAGCTCACCAACAGCCAGACCTCGCTGTGTGAGATCTTGCAGGAGAAGGGCAAGTGGGCCGGCGTGAGCCTGGACCAGTCCGCCCTGCTGCCCCTGAGGTTCAAGAACATCCGGGAGAAGACGGACGCCCATTTCGTGGACGTGATCAAGGAGGACAGGTGAGGGTGAGGCAGGGCTGGGGCAGGCGTGGCCGCCTGCTCTCGCCTACCCCTCCCCGCGCCCCGCTGCGGCACGTGGGCTCACTTTGAAGGAGGCTGGGCTTCAGAAAGGCTGCGTGACCACTGCCAAGCACTGCCCGACAGCCTCTGCCGATTCGCCGACGGCGACACTGCGTGCGTCCTCACTCCCGGCTCTCTCTCCGCTTCTCTCATTTTCTCCGTGAAATTTACTTTCTCACTTCCCGGAGCCACTCGGAAGCGAGTCGCACTCTCACGCCCTTTCCCCCGACACTGTCCTCCCCCTGGGGGTGGTCACCGAGGTCAGGCAGGTGACGCCGTGCCACGTGGGCCTGACCTGCAGCGCAGAGGCCACTGTGTCCCCCAGGGCGCCCCGTCCTTCTGGCCAGGCAGCCACACTCTGGTTACGTAGTGGCCACACCCTTTCTTGCCACTCTGTCTGTCGTGCTGCGGACACTTTGAGACGGAGGCCTGGCTTTCATAAAACACTCCTGACGTTGGATCTGCGTGCCGCTCCCCCTACTTCAGGCCCGGCGGCCCCGGGCCGCTCTGGCGGGAGCCGCACGTGCTCCGTGGCCTCGTGCACAGGCAGGCGGCATTCGGCCTTCTCAGCGCCGTCGCTGGGCTCCGTCGGGCTCAGCCAGGCAGGCGTGGCGGCCTCTCCCAGCGACACTGACTGATTTCGCAGCCCCGCGGGGTCCTGGCGGGGTGCGTGAGCGGCGTGACGCTCTGCGTGGACGGGATGCTGTGACCCGTAACCTGGCCGAGTGCCAGCGGTCTGTCCTGCTGTCCAGGTCTTCTGTCCCTGCTTTTCTTTCTGCTGTTACCAGCTGCTCAGGGAGGGACATTAAGCCTCCAGCTGTCACTGCGCATCGTCCTCCACCAGGCCGCCACTTCAGCTGCGAGGATTGTGAGCTGCAGTTCTCGGTTCGCACACATTTCTGGGTGTGAATTATTTCTGGGAATCATCCTTTTAGCATTTGGAAGTATCCTCAGTCCCTGGGCGCTTCCTGCCCTGGCGCTCACGTCACCTGATGCCAATCTGTTTGGCTCCGCCCGATATAAGTCCAGCCACTAACTTCTGACCCTTCCTGCTTGCCTGCATTGCTTTCCTGGTTTCGGAGACATCAGCCTCTCTGTGTCTTTATATTTGAAGTGGGTCTAATGTTTTCAACCACTGTAACCATGTTTCTTTGAATCCGTGTTGCATTCTGATTAGTTTTTCGGGCATACCTCATTCTCTTAGTGGCTCTTTAGGAGTCGGAGGCATTAAGTTTTACAGTCTTTTTATACCTAATCTTGTATCATTTTGCTTTAAATGCAGAATTCGTCACTGTCTTTTCATTGCTTGTGCTGTAGCGAGACTTGTGGAGCATTTGCGTACATTATAGACCCCACCCTCCGCCCTGTCCAGCTGGTCTCCTGGGACTGCTGTCCTGCTGAGTGTGGATCCTGCTTTCCCATCTCGTCAGCCCGGAACTTGGACTGTGCGCCTTGCTCTGTGCGTTCTGTTATATTCCTCTGAAGAGTATCATCTTCTCTCTCGTCAGGCAGTCAGCATCTCTGACCTCAAGCCACAAACTGCCCCTCCCTGGGCCGGGCAGCAGCTGCCCCTTTAGCCTTCATTTGGCTGCCTAGAGTCCACTGTGCACACACATTTCAGGGGTCACTGAGACTTACAGAGACTGAAGGGAGCTTGTATGCAGAATTGGGGGCTCCCACTCCTTGGATCCCTCCTTTTGGGATTTCCAGCCTCACTTTCCATCTGCGGCTACCCCGGACTCTATTTCTGACATTCCCGACTTTCTGAGTTGAGCTGTCCTGTACATGGTACTGACCAGTAGGTGTCTTTAGGCCCAAAAAACAGTAAAAACATGGAGATCTCAACTGGTGCTATTGGCTTCTCACAAGAGTGCTTCTCCCCCATTTTCTTCCTGCTTTGGTCAATCTCCAGGGCCTCCGGCATCCATTTTTTTCCTTCCAGGGTTTAGCGTTGTCTGAGTGAGCATTAGTCTGTAGGAGCTGTCACTTGTCCCTGGCAGCAGAACACAGCTTCTAGAAGGTGGCTGCTTTGGTATTTTCTTCTGTCCTTCCAGGGGATGCGGGTGGGTGGGGATTAACATGCAGGATCGAACAGCACCCTCCCTTCTGAGTCTGTGCAGAAAGGTGCCACTCACCACAAAAGAGCATCCTGCAGGCTGCAGGGAGCGGAGGGCACATGCCCAGAGAACCTGTGTGTGCCAGGCACGCGCAAGGCACTTTACCCCTTCCGACTTCATTTAGCAGTCACCGTGTGGTGGGGAGAGATTCCCCCCAGCGGTGTTGCCCTCTGAAGGCTTGTTCACATTCCCTTGCGCTCGTGGTAATTCCCTGCAGGATCAAAAGGATGTTACTATTTGCTAGCAACCCAAACGAGAAGGAGAGAGGCACGGAAAGCAGGTTCGAGCTCTCTGCTGTCAGTCACTGAGCTCTATCGTTGCTCAGGCTTCACACGCAATCTGCATGGGTGGCCCAGCACCAGCTGACACCAAGTGTAAACAGTTTTGTGGTAACGACCTGGTCACTTTGACAGCGGCCGTTGCTGTCCGTCCTCTGAATGACAGGACGGCCAGCGCCGAATACATTTTCACCTGACGCTTCCAGAGCACACGCTCTCTCGCACGGGCCTGCTGTCCTCTGAGTGTCGTTTCATGGAGATAGGCTGCCCCACTCTGCTTCTTCTCGGGTGTCCCGGATGCTGAAGGGGGCGCTACTGCAGGAGAGCGGCCGTTGTGCCTGGGATGTGCAGCGTGGGCCACATTCAGACTCACGAGGGACCCCCACGGGGTGCGGTGGCACCAGAGGCAGCTTCTGGGGCCCATTTCACAGATGGCTGCTGGGGTGCTAATTGCCATCTTTGATGAAACTCATATAACCACCGGGCTGAATGTTGATCAATTGCATTTATCGTCTCTTCTAGCCTGATGAAAGATTATTTTTTTAAGCCACCCATTAACCAGTTCAGCTTGAACTTCCTGGACCGGGAGCTGGAGCGCGCCTACAGGAGCAGCTATCAGCAGGAGGTGCGTGTCGGGAGGCCGGCCGA